CTCCTTTTCTTTAAAACATCATTATGTCATGAGAACAAAAGTAAGATTATTTCCAATGAGCATTCATTTTACCTTATGTGGCCATTTCCATTTTAGAAGCCCCAAAGAAACCTTACTAATTAAGATTCTGACTTGAGGGAAGTGTTTTCCTTATTTATTTATTTTTTTAATACAACTCTTACAAATTTATTTTTGGGGACTTAAAACACCAACTTTTCCTACTTTCTGGTTAGTATGATTGCTCTCCTTCTTGGTATGTGGAGTGTATAGAGAAGGGAGGGGCTGTAGAATTTCATCAGGGGAAAATTGAGAAGACTTTTCATGCAGAAAGATTTCCATTTATCAGAGTGGCCAGCTCCCAGACTTGTTCCTTCATCACCTACTGAGGTGATCATAGAGAAGACCCTCACATACTTGGGGCATGTTGCAAGGAGGGACCAGTCCTCGGAGAGGGACATCATGCTTAGGTGGGTAAAGGGACAGCATAAGAGAGAAAGACTCTCAATGAGATGGATTGACTCAATTACTGGGGTAATGGGGATAGGTGTGTCAGAGACAATTAAATTGGCTCAAGGGCAGTGTTGAGCTGTTGTACATAGGGTGTCTATGGCATCTAACTACAACTCATAAAAAATAAGCTGATAGCTTGAGAAACTACACTGCCAACACAACATCACACAGTTTGAATCCACCAGCTGCTCCAAGGGAGAAAGATGAGCAGTCTCTCTCAGTGATTATAGCTTCTGAAAACCTGCTGAAGAATCAGCTATGAGTCGATTCTGACTTGACGGTACATAAGAACAACAGTGGACAGGTCATTTGGTTATAGTCTTGGTTTATATGGCATCTCTAGGAAGCTGACCACACTGGCTTATTTTTGTACCATAACCAAGTTTATGCACAATAAAAGCTGTTTGCTTCCTGGTTTGGTTTTATTTCGTGCCATTTTTCATGGAAAGTAAAGGTTGTTGTTACTACTGATGAAATAAGTTGCCTAGGCTAGATAAATTTGTCACGCACCTGATCACCTAAGCTTATGTGTTTGAGGACACAGTTATTAACTTAGGAAATAGAAGAAACTGGGTAAACATAGCACAAATAGAATGTAAAAAATTTCATGACAAAGGAATTAGAGTAGAGAATCTTTAGGATATGCCTGATGATATGCTTTGCATTTATCTCTTGCCTTTTTTATTCTCTCTATCCCTATATAATTAACATTCTGGGCAATTAAAAAAAATTGCACTCATTTTAATAAAATAGGCTCTCATTTCTTTTCTTATTTCTGCAGTTAATTTGAACAGTGTCAGTATGTTACTATTTAGAATTGCTATTCAACTAAAAATGTATTATGAACTGCTGCAGCCATTAAAAAAAATTACATTATAATGAGAAAAACTGAGCTAAACATAATTGTACACCCTGACAGTCAGTATCTTCTAGAATGGCGGTTCTTCCTGTATCAGCGATAATTTTATTGTCTGATTTGCATTGGAGTCGCCTTGCTGCCGCATTGATACATGGATATGTCCACCCATTTCTAGGAGTTGCAGATCCTGAAGAAACTGTTTAACTCCATTTCTTACTCTAAAAAAATTCTGAAGAATTGGAAAAATCTAAAAAAAGATGGTAGTGTCAATGCTTATCCCAAGGCTGCACTTCTTTTGTTTTAGCTCTTTATTAACTCATCTCAACTCAACTCATTGTCACAACATAGGAACACATTAAAAGAGTTTTCTGAGGCTGTAAATCAGTGGGGAAGAGATTGTCTATCTTTCTCTTGAGAAGTAGCTGGTGGATGGCAGCTCCCTATGGTGGCCTAGTGGTAAGGATCTGCACTGCCAACCCTAAGGTATGCAGTTTGAATCCACCAGCTGCTCATGAGGCAAAGATGGGTAGTCTCCTCTCATTCTATTTACTGCCTCTAAAAACCCACTGTAAGGTCAGCTATGAGTCGGTTCAGACTTCCCAATACACAACACCACCAAGCCTTAGATTGACAAGTGCAAATAACTGTCAGCCAGCTGTTGCCTTTGCAAAAATGGATTGGGTCATAGAGGTGCATTGTTGGTCATCTCTAAGACAGAATTCAGAACCCGTGACCTAGGGGGAGTGTGGTACTAAATAGTCCCTTCACTTCTTCAAGAAGCTTTCCATTATAGGCTCCTGGATAAAGAGGCAAAAAGAACAACAACAACAACAAACCCAACAAAACAATGCAGGAATCACAAGTTAGTCAGCCTGTGAGTTACCTTACCTTCTTTTCTGGTTCCTCTCTTTGATTTCGATCCAGCAACCATTTATTGAGCTTTTGCTATATGCCAAATATTATTAAGACACAGAGTACATAGCGCACTTGAGAAATTGAACAGGGATTAAAGCTCAGACCATTCAAGTGCACTCTTTTCGAGAAGGGGGCTTAAATCGCTCAGGAGATTGCCTATCCTTCTCTTGTTGAGTTACTGGTGGATTGAAACCATAAGAGAGCCATAGACTTTGGGTTAGTGGTACAAGTCCCTATAGACCAGGCCACCAGAGAGACCTAAAAGAAGTTTAAACAGTCCTCAGTTCTTTCAGGGACAAGTTGAGTAATGAGTTGAGTCCTCAAACCCTCTAAATGAAAAACTCTAAAAGTCACACAAGGGAATGTAACATATGGTTTATGGCAAGTTAAAAAAACTCTATAGATTTTGAATCAAAAGCTGCTTTAAGAGATTGTTATAGAAAAAAAAAATGTGTGTCAAAATAAACCACATTACTTTGCTGTGCCCGCCATACTTAGAGTCTGAAAGTGCATCTCTCCCAGATTATGAGTTCTCCTTTATCTGAAATATCATAAACACTCTGTTACAAATGGGTGTAGTTTTGGCACTTGTAAAAGTAACCTTTGCATTAAAACTCAGTTTGTTCTCAGGGGTTGGTTGCAAGGCAAGTTTGGAATTGCCTGTAAGGGATTTTTAAAAAAAATATTAATTTTAATTGCGATTTTAACAAAAGTGCATAAACTTGGATTTCCATTCATTCGTTATTGCACATTTTCCTCTCTATCCATCCCTCCCCCCAGTTCACTTTTCTCTTTGGAAAACATTCTATCATTGTTGCACAATTATTGCCCCCCCCAACCAAAAGTCCACTTTGCTATGCAGCTTGTATTCTGGACTGTTATCATACAAATAATTCTTAATTATATATTCCTGTTAAACAGTTCTTTCCCTTATCTATTTCAATGCAGTGTTCATGATCTATTCCCTCTTAGTTTCCTCCCAGCTCCATGTCAGTCCTTTTTTATAATAGTGGCATTATGTAGTATTTGTCCTTTTATGACTGAGATATTTCACTCAGCATAATGTCCTCCAAGGTCACCCATTGTGTATAATACTTTATGAGTTTCTTGGTTTTCAGCGCTTCATAGTATTCCATTGTGTGAATATACCACAGCTCTCTATCCATTTGTTTGTTGAGGGGCACTTAGGTTGTTTCCATCTTTTTGCTATTGTAAACAATACATATATATATACATACATATATCTGTTTGGGTGGCAGTTCTGATTTTGTAAGGAATTTTTCAATAACAGTTTCATCTGGGCTCAAAATTATTGTGTAAAACCTATCCAGCTTTCTCCATGTTTTCCCTTTCCTATTCCCAACCTGTCTAATTATTTGCACCCGATTTCATTATAAATATACATATAAAAAAATCAGTTTAGAGCTTTCTCCTCTTTATGACATTTCTTATTTTAAGTAAGAAATAGGGAGCTCTGATGGCTTAGTGGCAAGAAGCTGTGCTGTAATCCCGAAGGCATGCAGTTCGAGACCACCAGCTGCTCTGCCAGAGAAGGATGGACACTCTCCTACAGAGTCATTAAGTGCCTCTGAAAACCTACTGGAGGGTCAGATATGGGTTGGTTCAAATCCTACAGCACACAACAACAACAACAACAACAACAACAATCTCCTTCCCTATTCTAATGACCATAAACTGCATTCACAGGTCTGTAAGAAGTTGATTTAATGGCAACTGGCTTTTAAGGTTGACATGGTGAAACAAGGATGGCTTTCTATGCTTGTCCCAAACTATCCCACATATTAGTTATTGAGAATTACTTAAATAAATGATCCCCCCCCAATCATATGTAGTTTTTCTGAAAAGAAAAAAAAAAAGAAATCAAGCTTCTAGCATTCAAGAAGATGGGCTTCCCTCTTCCCCTTTTCTCCTTGGGGAAACTTCATGAATAACTTCGCAATTTTTAGTATTATCATTTCAAACTAACAAATAAAAAATTCCCTGCAGTGGAGTTGATTCCAACTACCGTGTGTATCCCTGGGGAGCTACTGGTGGATTTGAACTGCTGGAGATGTGGTAACCTTTGCATCAGCAGTACAGATCTCTAGAGACTATGACAGTGTGGGATTGCACGTGAGTTTGAGGACTTGGTGGTGTCATCAGAAGAAACATGCTCACTGCAGCTTTGAAGGAGCGTGGGACATCTTGTGCTGTGAGGATTCAGACCGGGCACTGGTGAGGGCTCTCGAGAGATTTGCATGTCCCTTGACTGCGTTCTTCATCTTCCAGGGAATTTGCTTCTCTTTGTCTGCTTCTAATTTCCCTGGAGGCCTGAAGAGAAGAGCCCTTTATTTATCCAGTATGGGGCTGAAAAGCTTTGATAGCAAGTCTTTAAAACATTTACTTAGATCAACTTTTAGCTACATTCCTTATTCCTGGTATTACAGTTTCCTTCACCAGATTGTATAAGCCTCTGTGCTGAAGACTCTTGATACAACTTTTAAAAATATCTCCTGGTAGCTTATAAACCAATTTCCCCCCCCTTCTCTTATTTTGTGGTCAGAGTAAATTTATTCCATAGTAGGTTTATTAAAATTAATGACTGCATAAAATATTTATAATGATGTCTTAAGCATGATATGTTCTAGCAAGAGATGAGTATTTTAGAAGGAGAGAAAGATAATAGCATTACTCAAAGTGGGGCTTGTGTTTTCAGGAGACCTTCGAGAAGGCCAGCCTGAGCAGCAGCAGCAGCGGGGCGGCCAGCCTCAGAAGCGAACTGTCAGAAAGTGTGGAGCTGCCAGCCGAGAGCTTCCAGGCCCCTTGTGGGAAGGACGAAGACAGGGCCTGTGATGAAATCCTCTCAGATGATCACTTCAACCTGGAAAACATAGACAAAGGTATCGTGCCTTTGGGAAGATGCTAGCGCTGAATACACATTTCGCCAGCCTGTTGCAAGATGCCTCATTTCCTCTCCCCTTCTCTTTAAATCCATGTTTAGATATATATTCAGAACTCGAGGAAGAGGTGGATATTTCGGATAACTCGAGCAGCTCCAGTTCCAGCCCTTTGAAGGAGGCTACCTTCAGTAAGCTTTATCAATTTGCCATTGATGAAAGTTTCTTTGTCAATTTGCCTTTGAGAACATTTCAGTGGTTAGAGGTTTGGGAATCCCACTTGTGGACTGTGTTAGGAAGATTCAACCATAAATAACCCCGTGGTCTGTTTTCCAGACGCAATCATGGTTAGACCAGGTGTTTATGCCCCTCTGGTAGGACCCCAAAGCCAACCCGCTCTGATGTTTCCATTGCCTCAGCTGTCAAGTCAGTAGTTTCATTATTTCATCCAGCATTTGCAGGGTCTAAATGGAGGAGCTGAGGGAATTAATTTGGAGGCATGCGAGATAACCGCAGCCATATGGAAGTGACCTTTCACAAATTAGTTGATTAGAGAGATTAGAAGCCTGGAGAAGAAATTAATCGTGCTGTAGATGAGGTTCTGTGTAATTTAATTTATAAAATGTGAACGAATATATTACATTCAAACCCCTACAAATAAGAGAAATATTCTAATTTCTCAGGGCCTTGAACTTAAATATGATGTATTACTTGGGTCCATGTGTTAATTTTGATTCTTCATTTGAAACAGTAAATAGTCACCCTGGCACATGGGGAAGAAAAAGAAAAATATTTCAAGGAAAAATAGCATCAAATATACTCAACACATCTGAAGTGGAAAGAAACATTACAAGAGAAAATAGTAATTCCTAAGAGTGTATGTTGTTTTTTGTTGTTAAGTGCCGTCTAGTCGTTGATGACTCAGCGACCCTATAAATGAAAGACCCGAGCACTTGTATAACTTTCATTTCTCCAAGATCATCGAGTTTCTGGAGGCAAGCTATTTCAGAAGTGGATGCCACTCCTGCTTCCAAGCTTGTTTTAATCGGGGAGCTCCACCAAACATTGTCCACCATGGGTAACCATTATCACATTTGACACATCAGGGTCACAGTGTTCAGCATCACAGCAACCATGAGTTGCCTCTGTACAGCAAATGGACAGACCAGTGCTATGCCACTTAGAAGAATGTTTGACCCAAAACAATTAAAACCAGACCTGAGGGTCACAGATTAAAATCACCCGCCTTTAGCTTGGTAACATAACTTTCTATCCACTAGGCCAACAGAGCTCTGTCTCTGTTGTTGTTGTTGTTGTTGTTAAGTGCCATTGAGTCATAGACAACTAGAAATACTCAAATAATTTAAGTGTAAGAAATGATTTCCCTTTAATGACTAAACTATGAAAATCTCATTTAAAAATGTTTAAAATAGACTCTCTAGGATGAAAGTTGGACCCCCAGAGATTTGTCTCTTTCCAAAATTAATTGGTCCATCAAAAAGATGATTAGCTATGTCCCATATTTGCTGGGACAATCTCAGTATCCAACATTGCCCCATATTTCCTGAAAACCTCTGCCTGATAGATAGCATGTCTTGAGTTGGGAAAATATGAATGCTTTATGAGAAAAATAGGCACACACATTAACATATGTTACAAATCCTGGAAGCCGTTTCACATTTGGGAAAGTGGGAATAGAGAAACCAAGCCCTTAAATTTACATATAGTGCTCTGTAGCTACTTCTGCAGTGACATTAGGATGATAGTGACATAGTATTTTCTTGTACGTAAATCAGCAGCTCACCTCATTGCTGTCAAACTAGAATTGAGTCATAGCTGTTTTCAGGTAATGTAAATTGCCTGGGAGGACATTGCTCATCATTTTTCTTGGAGTCACTGGTGCATTCAAACCACTAATGAGATTTCCTCTTTGGGGTAACAGCACAACTCCCTACAAGACTACACCACCAGAGAGCCCTTTTTATCATTGTTGTTGTTGATTGCTTTTGAGTCGAACATGACTCATCACAACCCTATGAACAAAAGGCCTGAAGCCCCTCTACAACTACCAACATTCATCAAAGTTCATAGAGTTTCCAGAGGCATGCTATTTAAGAAGTGGATGCCACGCCTGCTTCCAAACCTGTCACAAAATGTTATTGGTCGAGTCGTCTGTGATGTAAAACGACCCTCTATGTACAGCAGTTCTGAACCCTTCCCTGTCCTGAGCCAGTCTCACTAATTCTGACACACCAACCCCCATCACCCTAGTTACTGAATCAATCCGTCTCATCTGGGGTCTTCCTTTCCTGCTCTGTCTGTCTACCATTCCGAGCATGATGTCCTTCTCCAAGGACCAATCTCTCCTGGCCACATGCCCAAAGTGAGTCAGAGCTTCAAAATCCTAGCCTCCAAGGAAAGACTTGATTTCATTCTAAGACAGACCGATTTGTTTTCTTGGCAGTCCATAGTATGTTCAAGACTCATCTTCAGCACCACAACTCAAAGGCATCTATTCTTCTTCCATACTGTTGTTATTAGGTACTACTGAATTGATTATGACTCATAGTGACCCTGTGAACAACAGGTCTGAACCTTGCCCTGTCCTGTGTTGTCCTTACCATCTCTGAAACACATTGTTACAGTCACTGTGTCAGTCCATCTAGTTGAGGGTCTTCCTCTCTTTCCCTGATCATCTATATTTCTAAGCATGATGTCTTTTTTCCATATCATGCCCAAAGTATGAGAGACAAAGTTTCGCCATCTTTGCCCTGAAGGATTATCCAGGTTACTAGTTAGCCATTCATCATGGCATTTCTTTGTTTAACAAGCTTTGTATGGGAAATGATTCTTAAGCAAACCTGGCAACTAAATAGTAATTTGTGACATGTATTTTCTGTTGATGTTTTCATAAATAATCTCTTTTCATAAATGTTTTCATAAGTAATCTCCTATAATCTCTTCTGTATGTAAAATAGCTCAGAGAATGCAAGTGGTTTTTGAATAATAAGGAAAGGAAGGGAGGAGAGGTGGGGTAAAAGAGGAAAGTAAGAAAAAAGGAAATTATTTGCAAAGGAAAAAATGTAAGGTTATTTTTGTTGGTTTTGTTTCAGGCATTTTAAAGAGAAGTTTTAGTGCTTCAGGAGGAGAAAGACAATCACAAATCAGGTCTGTACAATTTACAGTGTTGACTTACTGGTTTCTGAAAGGAAAACAATCGGAGGTTAACCATGGCTGTTTGGTAGCAGAGTCTGTGAGAGCCAACCCTCTTACGACTGTCATTTCCCAACGTGCAGCCTGGACCTGCATATTTGTCTATCTATGCCTTTTTTTTTCTTTGTGCCTTTTGGCAAATTGGCTAATACCTCTGGGTTTAAGAGCTGACTAGGAGAGTAGTGAAGTTCATAAGCTTATCTGGGATCTCATCTCCTTCTGCTTGTTCTGTCATATCCTGGGCTGTTCTGATTCTCCTGACAAATGCAACTCAATGTACCACATCCACTGAACAGGAATTAAAAGGAGGAGGTGGGTGGAAGACTCCACCTTCCCTTTTAAAGACATAGCAGATGTTGGGCTCATCATTTTTGCTCACATACCAATGGCCAGAGCATAGTCTTATGACCGGTGTGGTATAGGTTTGGGAGGAGCGATATCACTGAGACAATGGTGGTTGAGGGGGCCTGAAGATAGAGTTGGGAAGGCTCAGTGCAGTCTTGAGGGGGCAGTGTGAAAATAGACATGGATAGGTGGTAGCTGTATGAAGTACAGTATGTATAAGGGATACTGTGAGGTACAATGCACATGGATAAAGAACCGTGTGTAAGGGTGGTTATATGCAATTCAATTAAAACAGTGGAGGGGGATTTTAAAAAAATGTGTGGCATAAATGAACACTGGACAGTACATATTTGGAAAGCGTGTAATTCCACTTTCGGCCAGAACTTGATTAGAAGTACTAAAGGGAAAATCTGCCTTGGAGATAAGCTTGTTAAAAGGAAAATCTGGGGGTAGGCGTTGGAGCTCAGTCTGGAGGAAAGACTGTGTCCCACCCAGTACTGTGAGGATTTGGAGATGTAATCCATATTGCAAGTTATAGTATTTGATCTTCTACAGTAAGCGATTCAAGTGCTTCATTTTATGCACGCAAGATTGTGTCATCTACATATTGCAGGTTGTTGATGAGTCTTCCTGAAATCCTAGTGCCACATTCTTCTTGATAAAGTACAGCTTCGTGGGCGATTTGCTCACCATACTGACTGAATAGGTATAGAGAAAGGATCTCCAGCCTTGCTTTACACGTTTCCTGATTGTAAATCATGCAATATCTTGTATACCACACACCTATAACCTTGCCCCTCACCTGCTGGACTCCCAATTCCAGGTCCCTGTATGTTCCTTCTATACCTACACATGTTAGGTGAGTTAGAAAGGGGAACACTCATGAGAAGTCAGGAGTAGAGAATCCTTGGTTGATCTCCTATCTCAGTTACCAATCCCTATAACCATCCGTTTTGGGTCTTCCTCGTTTGTTTGTTTGTTGAAGAAGAAAAATACAAGAAAACATGAAATAGATGATTACAGGGAGTTGGTAATTGAGTTAGGTGATCCCTCCAGGAGTCCCTGTTCTCACCCCTAACTTCCCTTTAATGTTTCCTATTCCCATGAACTGCTAAGAAAATAAACAGGTTCATCCTGGTGAGGTAAGGATTCTGAGGCTCCGTCTAATATACTTTGGACAAGTTGCAAGGAGGGACCGGCCCTTGGAGAAGGACATCATGCTTGGTAGGGTGGAGGGACAGCGCAGGAGGGGAAGACCCTCTATGAGGTGGACTGAGTCAGTAACTGGGGTAATTGGCTTGGTGTATCAGAGACAGTGTAATTGGCACAGGACAGAGCAGAGTTAGGGCTGTTGTACATAAGGTTGCTATGAGTTGCAAGTGACTCAACGGCACATAACAACAACAACAACAACAACAACAACAACAACATTCCTTACCTACCTCATTCTATGAGTAAGGAGTGCCAAGCAGGGATCCAAATTGCAAGCACTTCCTCCCTTAGCCTAGCAAGTGAGAAGTAGGGGCGAGAGGTGTGTACACATGTGCCTTCTTCGTTTTAACTTCTCCATAAGCACGCAGTGAGCACAGCCTTCTTTGAGTTAGTCTGGAATCTAGAATAGTATTTTCATGAGAAAATGCTCCACACACTCTCCCCTCAAAATTATTTACATGTGTTTTGAACTATAATGTTATAAAGAAAAGTGCCATTTTACAATGGAACATGAAGATCTCTTGTAGCTTACTGGTTAAATGTTTGACTGTTAACCAAAAGATTGACAGTTCAAATCCACCAGCTGCTATGGAGGAGAAAGATATAACAGTCTGCTTCTGCAAAAGATACAGCTACTGCATAAAAACACTATGAGGCAGTTGTATTCTGTTCTGAAAATTTAAGTTGGAATTAACTCATGATTTCTGCACTTAAGAGTCTCTATGTGGTGCAAACAAATCATGTGCCCAGCCCAGCTGGCTTGTTTTGTTTATTTTAAATTTAAGAACCTTATTTTTTCTAAAGTATATGATTGTTTATATTTGTAAAAGCATTATCTGTAGACACCCCCTCAAATTATTGAATGTTTCACTTATTGATAGGATTGATGAAATGTGTACAAAAGATCCAAAACAAGTAGTTTAGTACAAAAATAAAATATGACATATATTATAGTACCCAATTTAAGATCATTTTATATTGAAAACAGAATTTCCAATCTAACGGACTTAGGAGTCTTCTTATTGTTGTGTCCTGTCAAGTTGGAACCCATTCATAGCTGACCCTCCATTGGCTTTTAGATACAGAAAGTCACACGGGAGGAGATTGCCTGTCTTTCTTCCACGGAGCAGCTGGTGAATTTGAACTGTCAGCCTTGTGCTGGCAGCACAACTCCTTACTCAATCCTTACTGTTATATACTATCGAATCAGAATTGACTCATAGCTGACCCTCCAGTAGATTTTCAGAGGTAATGAATTGAAAGGGAGGAGATTGCTCACATTTCTACCACGGAGCAGCTGGTGGATTCGAACAGTGTAGTTTCAGGTTTGCAGCAGTTCCTTACCAGGAAGCCACCAGAGTACCTACTGATCCAAGTATTTACAGCATGTTGTTGTGTATCATCGAGTTGGACCTGACCCATGCATAGCTGACCCTCCAGCAGGTTTTCCAAGGCAGTAAATCCCACAGGAGGAGATTGTCCTTCCTTTTCCCATGGAGCAGCTGGTAGATTTCAACAACATACTTGATGAATTCTGAGAGTTCTAAGAACTCTACTCATTTTGTATTGCCACTGTCCCTCTCAGTCAAGCAGGTGATATTTCTGTATGTGTGACTATCAGGCTTCCAGAAATTCCTTTTTGTATAATGTGTGACTTGCTAACTAGGGAAAATAGTCTGGTGGGAGACAAACTCCCTTTCTTCAAAGAATGCACAGTGTAGCTGGAATACAAGGGCTTTGTCCTGAGAAGAAAACACATGATTCATGTCAAAAGGAATAGAGAAAGTGAATAACTGTTCTATTTCCTTCCAGCTAATCCCCAGGGCTTCTGAATTCAAAACAGACAACACTAAAATGTATTTATAATTCCTTAAAAGGTATTAAGTAAAGCTGGAATTATTTGCAATCTAGTTTGCAAAGCTTAAGTTGCTTGGTTTATTCATGTGAAATGTGAATCTCTCTTGCAAAATACGTAGATGCCAAATGAATAGAGTGTGAAAGGAAACAACACTGTTCTTGAGCAGAAAAGAAGAAATTGAAATGAAAGCCTGTCTAGTTTTGTTTTGTGTTTTGGCTATTCTTTTTTTATTTTTT